GGCTAAATCCTAGATTTTTGTGATCAAAACAGCAATATTGATCTTTCTTTTTGATGATGGGAGGGTTTAAAGAATTTCTGTGCAGTGGCATATAATTATCATTACATTGCAACTCAACCCATGCTGTAAAGCACAATTACCAAGGACTCAGTTATCCTGACTCAGTTCAGTAATGCTGGATTAAACACGATTTGACCTCTGATTTTTTTAAGTTTCCTTTTTTGAGTCTTTCAATTTTGAAATAAGAGTAATTTTTTTTATATTTTATGTAATTTTTCAATCTTTCCTTCACCATATGGAGATGATTATAATTTATATAGCTCATTCTTGCTGAAATCCCAGCCTTAATTTGTACTGAAAATGAGATGTTATATCTTTAACAAAGACAGTAAAACTCACTGGGAGTTGACTTCATTGCTTGGATTTGCTTCCATGCTTTAATTGGGTAGTCTTTTAATTCCCATTAAAGGAAAAAAAAATAGATAGATAGAAAGAAAGAAAGAACAAAGAGGTTTGCTTCAATGGTTTTTAGTTAATGTCAAATATTAAGCTTTGATGCTACTAAGAACATAGCTGCATGTAATAATGCAAGCATAAACTATTTATGGCACAAATCGATTACGAGAAAAAGCAATGAAAAATACATTTTATTCAGAAAAAAAAAGAATTGTTACATATGAACTTACACACGTATTGTATTTGAAATTCACATATGTTGGTGAATTAGCATATATAAACTTTAAGGTTGGACGTGAGACAACAATCCCTATGTGAAAATTATGACAAATGAAGGCATTTATGAATGTTAAGTTAATGTAATTACAGGCAGTGATTGGAAATTAATTAGTTAGTCATGCAACTGTTTGTGTAGTATTGAATTTAACTGTTGCACATGGATTGGAAATTCCTTTGTATGGTCGATCGTTCATACTCCTCCATTGGGAAACTACCTTGCTGACTCTCGAGTGAGGCGTGATCATCCTTTCATTCTGCTCTCTTAACCTTTTGGTTTCTGCCCTGTGATTTTTCTCCTTCTGCTGGTTCTGTGTTCTATCTGTAATTGATCCTGCTTCTCCCTTCCTTGCTCGATTCTGTTTTGCTTTGGTGATTTCCTTTTCCTTTTTTTCCTGCAATGGGCTCGCTGGGTGGTGCTTTCTGGCTTCTTTGTTCTTGATTTGCTTTCTTTTGGTGGCTGACCCTTCTGCTTTTTGTCATCTTTATCACTCAAGCGGGTTTGTTTCTTGGTTTCTGCTGGTGCCCGCCGTTTCTCTGCAGTTGAGATGTGTTTTTTGTTTTCTTTTTTTCCTTCCGGAGTTGTTTCTGGAACTGCTGGTTTTCTGATCTTTCTCCTTTGATCAGACTTTGATTACTTTGATTCTCCTTAATGAATTCTTCTGATCTTTACCTTTCAAAAAAATAAAACTGTCGCACATGGATTTGATTGATGTTTTTCTTTTGACAAATCATCAATAGCTAATTATTGATTGTGTACTGTAATGTTGATGTTGCTTTAAGAGTGAATCTTGGTGATCTTCTCTTGCATCAACAGAAAAATATAAAACAAAAAAAAAGGTGATAATTTGTCTACTTGGTTGCATATTATGGCATGAAAAACACTCCATTTAAATGGTTTTTTTTTATAAAATATATATATATAAGATAATAAAGCTAGAACAAGTTTTACTCGAGGAAATACTGAAAAGGATTGTCCTTGATGCTAATTTTTCCTTCCTACAACAGCATGGAGAAGATACTTGAACGCTATGAAAGGTACTCTTATGCTGAAAGACAGCTTGTTGCTACTCAGCCAGGATCTCAGGTACACCTTTCACTTCTTTAGTTTTGCCAGTTCACAGTATAATTTTTTATACACTGTCTAATAGCATCTTGACAACAAAAAAAGGATTGGGTTGGTGAGTCATTTTACAGCATTTAAATGGTACCTGTCTCTGTAACTCCCGAGTACTTTCATAGGTGTTGTTTTCTGGTACAATAATAAATGAACATTAAGCTTTAAATTAAAGTTGTTGTTTTGGAAGTGGGTCAATTAACCATTAGCATTGCTAATTAATTGCCTTGATAACCTGCCTCTCTACTGTGTAGGCGAACTGGTCCATGGAGTACAACAGACTTAAGGCTAAGGTTGAGCTCTTGCAGAAAAATCACAGGTACTTACTTAAAACTGATTGCAAGGTTGCCTCTTTTTTTTTTTTTTTTTGAGAGGCAAGGTTTACAGAAAGAACCCTTCTATGGGTGATAAGCAGGGAGCTACGTTGGGTGGTGTTCCCCGACAGTAGGTGCCCTGCGTATACAAAAGATGGGTCATACCTATCCTGGTTGCAATTAAGATCAGACTTGACAATTTTCTGTTTTACATCGACCCAGTGTTGATTCTTACCTAAATACAAACTCATCCCAATGCAACCAAGTTTACTGTACAAAACAGTGGTCCCCATATAAAAGTTAAACTTTACACCATGTGCACAGTCGCTATACACTTTCAGCCTATGTTTTCTTGGCTGCTTAATATGCACATTATCAAAGAGAGACGATTTCCTTCTTCAAATTGTAGCTTCCATATCTCGTGTCTAGAATTTCTTTTAGCGTATGCTTAATTAGTTGGTTGAATCGTTAAACCTGTCCAGGCACTACATGGGAGAAAATTTAGACTCATTGAGTCTCAAGGAGCTGCAGAATTTGGAGCAGCAGCTTGATACTGCTCTTAAACACATTCGATCTAAAAAAGTATGCTTAACAGTTGTCCTTTTTTCCAGTCATAGTATCATAATTATAGTTGTTTCTTGTCGGTTTTAGTGATGAAATTGTGGCTCTTGCAGAACCAACTAATGTATGAGTCTATATCTGAGCTTCAGAGAAAGGTAAGGCCTCTCAGAACGTCACTTGCTTGTCAAACATGTAGAGATCCATTGCAAAAACTCTCGATCGTGTTCATATGTAATCTCTAATCATGTTTATGACAGGAGAAGGCAATACAGGAGCAAAACACCATGCTAGCAAAGCAGGTGACTTACCCTTTTCATGTTCATGATTTCATTATTATTATTATTATTATTGTTTGCTTAATCAATCCATTTTATTTATAGATAATAGCTAAACAGCTTCACAACTAATAGGTATGAGTTGGAAAATACACGTTTCTGAAATATGAAAACGCCTAATAGTCCAATATATGAGAATATAAAGACCCTTTTAAGCTTTCCTTAACTGGAAACATATCCTTAGATAAATTACCTGATACTCACCAAAACACACAACTAAAAGGCCACAATGAACCTATTATGTGGTGTATGGTGATGTTTCAGGCGTGTAAGTTCTATATCACTGGACCTATCTGGTTTAGTCGTGGTGTATATATTCTGAACCTTTGAGACCAGTTACTATCAATAAAATGATAATTGAGCAAAAAAAAAAAGGCCACAATGACAAGTACACCTATTCAACGTACCAACTCATTAATTGATTTACCTCCTTTACCTTAAGTAACTTATTGAAGACCGTTCCTTCCTTCTTCTACATCAAATCATTTTTAAGAGCTTTAGTGTGAAATGTTATCGTCCATCAAGTGAAACACATAATGATAAAGTAGTCTGTCTTTGCATGTAGATCAAGGAGAAGGAGAAGACTATTGCGCAGCAGTCTCAGTGGGGGCAGCAAGACCATGGTCTCAACGCATCACCCTTTCTGCTGCCGCAGCCACATCCTTGTTTGAATATTGGGTAAACATCTCTTTAAGCCATGTGATAATAGTACAGCATCACTCTTTAAAAGTTTCATAAACATAGATATTGTTCCATACTTACAAATGTTACTAAGATATGAATTTGAATGATAGTGGACCTCCGCTCTATAAATGCATATCCCTTTTATTGGAAGACTTTTTGTTTTACTAAATTGGTCTTCTCAACATTAAATATACATTCTATTTCAGAGAATGTTATCATCTCTTGGCTGTATCGAGCGGTTTAGGTCATAGGATAAATGATATAATTTTAACATGATGAAAAAATTGAGAATAATTGTGGGTGACGTTACATTTGTGCATAACTTTAGAGAAATTTATACTCTTATGTGCTCCCTTACTAAAATTTTGAGATTGATAGGGTTAAAATGATTCATGCATGGTAGTAATTTTGACCAGAATTTTGATATTTTGTTTATAAAGTGCCAAGCTATAGTATACAGTCCGGTGTTTGACGACTTTTTTTGGTCGCATATTGGGATTTTTTATATCAAGTGTTCTTACTTGTATCAATTGAAAACATTCTATTTCAGAGTCTACAACCATTCTCCTTAGTATGGGGCTATATACAGTTTATATTAACAAGATGACTCTTGTCAAAAAAGGTCCCCACATCATAAACCAGACAACAAGTAGAGGAAGGCTATTAGTTTATGATTCACCCAACAAGAGTAGAATATGGTTGTTTTGCACCTCTAAACTGTGTTTGTCTCTGATAATTTTGAAAATGTAGCTTGTCTGCAAAGTGGGTATAACTTGGTTAAAAAATTGATTTACTTACCGGTTTTAATTTCTACTCATACCATGCAGTGGAACATACCAGGAGGAAGCACCAGAGATGAGGAGGAATGAACTTGATCTTACCCTTGAACCTATCTATCCGTGCAATCTGGGATGCTTTGCTGCATGAATTGTGGTACGATATAAGAATGCTTGTTGTTGCCCGCCGCTAAAGAATATGGACATAGATGCATTATGGTTAAACAAAAAAAAGAAAAAAAAAAAGCATGAGAAAGATAAATTGTTTGAAACTCATGCGTTTTATGTCTGTCTGATTTGACATATCTATGCTGATGATAAGTATATATTTGGATCTTGGATTTCTCATTTATTTTTAATTCAGTTGTTGCCTTTGTTGTTCCATTTCATAACCAGACTTTCCATTGCAGATATATAGTTAATGGACTGATACACAGTGAGTACACTTTAAAAGGATATCAAACAAGAGCTTATCACAAGGAAATTTGTCTGTCATTTTTCTCTTTCTTTAATAATAATAATAAAAAAAAAAACGAAAAAGCATAAGCTTCTTGCAATGGTACATCTACAACCTGTAGCTCTTTCTCATCAATTTTGAACAGGGGAAAAACATTTAATAAACTAATTCAAAAATCATCTGTTCATGATCTTCGATCGGCTTTTGGATGTCTCATGTGTAACCCAATGTTGTCAAGCTGCTTCATGAAATTCCATCACCTAGAAAATCAATCCATAATCAGTCAGATGCTCCAAGAAAATGCCAATAAAATGAATGAGCTGTGAAATGAGATAATCTTCAAAATATAATGTGATGGAAAAATTGGTAATTGAACCCAATCAGGACATGAAACTTCAGACCAAAATATGGCACTAGAAGCGTAGAATCCCCATCACAACTTAAATTGTTCACCTATCACATGAAGAGCTGATAGCTCTTGTTTAGCCATTCGCTTCTTGATGTTTGAAGAATGACATGTTGGATTAGTTCTTGATGGTTTTGTGATAATTTGACAGTTTGGCTTACATAGCTAATAGTTGTCAGGACTCAGAACAACTGTTAAATCTTAAGGAAAAAGGATCAAAGCGTATAAGAAATAAATTACCATGCCACAGATTGGACAGTTTTCTGATCTCTCCATCCACTCATATATGCAACCGAGGTGGTAACTATGGGAACATCGAAGAACTATCCTTGGGTTTTCAGGGATGTACTCTGCAATAAAAAAGAATGGGAGAAATTAAGAGAGGGTAGTGAATCCAAGTAGGCCAATATACTTTAAAGCCGCATTTACTTGATTTATAAGCTGGTTGGGAATCAGCAATCTTATCCAAATTAATGTCAGATTTCATAACTAGGGGGAAAAGACAAATGCATTCTTAGAGCTAGTCAAGAATATGTTACTAGATTCAAAAAGTTTTACCTTCAAGACATGTGGGACAAACATCATCTTCAGATTCTTCACAGGCACGAGCAACTTCAGATTTCTCAGATGAGAACTTCAATTCAGGCTCTGAACAGCTTGTTGTTGATATCCCTTCGCATTGAAGCTCAGCTGATTCGTTTCCTTTACTAGCATGTTCCAGGTCAATTACTTGGTTATTGTTATGTTCTCTAACTTGCCCATCCTGTTGCTGACTGGGGCGTGTGGCATCCGTATCAAAATGCAAGTGTCTTGGAGGAGTTATGGCAGTGTCAGGCTGTATATCGTCGGATGCAACATCAAAACTCAACGGGGATGCCACTTGAGCAGTTGAAACGGGGGCATCCGATTGCCCATTGCCGAAAAGTTCTGCATGCTGCTCAGCAATCTCACCAGTCAGGAACGCTAACGATGCCTTGTAGCAAATTGCTCGTATCAGAAACCAATTGTGCATGAATCATATCCAAGTTTAAGCAGTAATGCTGATTCCTTTCGAGGCCACCAAGGCTAATATAAAATTCTGCTTCTTAATTATGTTCTCGTTCATGGTTACTGGTACCAGTTAACTTAAAGGAAAAAAACACTCAAGCATACTCAACATCACCCCTCTATCCACACTAAATTTGGCAAGAAAATCTCGGTTATGGTTACTTATCATGAGAATCAAGCTACATTTAGCCACTGGTCTAAATGTTTTCATGGTAACTAGGTAATAATGGTCAAGGAAAAGACATCAGGAAAGTTACTGTCATGGTAACCGTATCGAAAGATTCCATTGATAATTGCTAGAAACAATAATCAAGCAAGCTTAAAAAGAGATAGACATCAGAATACGAATGGCCTGCTTTCCTCCATTGAACAAGGAAGAGCACATTGAATTTGACATTATACCTTGCGCACTAAGGTGCGGATGATGCGTTTGAGACTGCTACGAATATGAGAATTTGGAATCTCTTCTTCAAGATCCCTGATGTGGATACAACAACAGAAATTTGCCATGATCAATCTTTAGTTTCTACTTCAATTTCAACCTGAAAAAGAATCACTATTACAACTTGATTAGAGCAAAAAAATGGAAAGCATCCCTAGCAATTCTGTCAATAATGACATATAATTAATTAAGTTGATTAAAAAGAATATAGGAATGAAAACCGAGTCAGTCTATTTTTTTACTAAGTCAAAGATTTTATCAAGTAACTAAGAAGTTATAAAAGTAAAATAAAAAACGGTTGCGATATAAAAAAAGGACATAACTGTAAAGATAAATCTTCATACATTTAATATGAAAAAAAATTTAAAATTAAATTAATCTAACCAGTACGCGGTCTTCAAACAAATAACAATTAAAAAGATCATCAATCAATTATTTAACCATATATGATCATTAAAAAAAAACCACCTTCATCAATAAAATCAAAAGAAACTTAACCAACAAAAATAAAAAAATTCTACAATGAAATCCCATCGTCCTTCAATATACTACGATATTGCAACAGAAAATTATGTAAAAAAAAAAAATTCCAATACCTTGAGATCCAAGATACAGTTTCAAACAAAGGAAAAGAGTGATCAACCGGAAATTAATACTGATATTGATAAGCACCCGATAACTTGGTACATTCAAAGAAGAAAACAAAAGTAATTAGACCCTAAGCAGGGATTTAACAATTAATAATAATATAAAAGAAGAAGAAGAAGATGATGTTGTCGTTCAACTTGGACTTAGAGGAAAACAAAGGATTCCAAAGTGGAGCACTTTTTTTTTTGGCGTAAGATAAAACGAAGGGTTTTTGTATCCTCAGCTGCGTAGGATTCTTCGTCGATAGAAGTACCGAATTGACGACGAGTTTTTATGGGACGCAGGAAACGTCTTTTCCTTTCGCCTGCTTTGATGACGTGGACGCTGTGGCGGAACCTACCTTTCTTAATTCACTTACAAAATTTTCGAAATTAATTGTAGTTTTACTTGATAAAATTTTAAATAAATAATAATAATTAGATTAATTGTATTCAATTATAAACTCTTAATTATCAACCGGGATTGCGGAATTTATATAGATTGCATTACATATCAAACTCTCGTGATTATATAATTTTAAAAAATAATTATAATATATGATTTTTTTAATTTTTATATAAAACATATTAAATAACAAATAATAAAAAGTAAATGATGAAAATAACAATTAAATGAAATTTATATATATATTTTTAAATTGTAAGTGCAAGAAATAAGTTAATAAGTATTTGACTTTATAACTCTTACAACTTTCTTAGACACACTTGTGTAAAATTAAAAATAAAATCTAAAAAAAATTTCTTGAGTTGACTTGCTTTTTTTTTTTTAATTAGGTCCGAAGGCCCAACTCATAAGAGGCTAGGTGATTTACTAAGAGTAACAATATGAAGAAGGGTAAATGGATAAATATAAAATGAGAGAGACTGTCAAATCAAATTGAATAAAAAGATAAAAAGGCTTAAACCCACTATATATAGTAAGTCCCTTCCATGAATACCATGAAAAATTTTGGTTAAATTATATAATTAGTTTTTTTTTTATGGATTTAGTTTTTATATAATAATTTATTAAATTTGAGTTTTTTTATTTTTTAAAATTGATTATGTTAATCAAATTATTAACAATATTAAAATTTTTTATTATTTATATTGATATGGTATCTTTTTTATTGATGTAATATTAAATGTGATGATCTGTTAATAATAATCTGACATTTTTTTTATTTATTTCATAATATTCTTTTCGTTACTTTAAATTATAAAGTACATAAATTTAGTTTTTCTCTATCTCATAATACTCTTCTCCTAAATCCGAAATAGTTATTCATATTTTTAATTTGTTTATTTTTCAATCATATTTAAAACCATTAGCTCATATTTGAATAATTTCATATCTACACTTATAAAATCAACATCGGTACTTGGTCGTGACACTACTATTACATCATTCTTAAAATGCGGCATTAATATCATTATATTCAATATCATATCAACAAAAAATAAAAAAATCACGTCTACTCAATCAAACACCATATCAATAAAGATAACAGAAAATTTTTAACATGTTAGACTAACAGTGTCATTTTTAAAAAATATAAAGATTCAATTATTATAAACAGACTAAATCTATTATTTTGATATAATACAGAAACTAATTACATTATTTTCCTGAAGAAATTTTTTTGTCTTTGATGCTAAACTCTTGAAATTTTAATAAAATTACTCCATCTACTATTGCAACTTTTTACACATGACACTTTGAGATTACTCATACACCAACAGGGGGATCCAAAGTAAAAAGTCTGGCACAGTAAACATTTACTGCTGGCGGCCTGATGGTCAAAGTTGAGGGATCAATATTCATGAGACTAAGTTCAATTACAATTTAATTAGATTCATATCTATGGAGTACTTTTTACCGAACAATCTCGATGTCTTCAGAATGATGACGTTCAATTATTAACGTAAGATGTCAACAGATAATTATTCTATACACTAATCGAGAGTCAGAGAGACAAGAGACAGCAGGTGGAGAAATGTTAACTGATAGATTGGCGACAAGGTGAGAGACATGGGGGGTGATTAAAGTGGTAAAAAACCTTTCATGGAAATGACAAATTAAAGTTAGGACAAATTTTGGAAAGGACCTCTCACCTATTTGACCTTACTTTTAACAGAGTAATGCAGCAAGAAAGATGTTCTTTGTTTGTTCTTTCTAAATCATCAGAACCCTTTTGTTTTTTTTTTTTATGGGCAAATTAGCATTGTAGAGTTGAGTAGTTGACCCTTTTCTGCTTTTGCTAATCATGTTGTTTCGAAGAACTTCTAACACAGTATTTTACTTTGTGTGTTAATTATATGTTATTCTAAAAATGATGAGCTGGTAGCTTTCGATTCACGTTAGATAAAACCATCATAAAGAAAAACAAAATGAAAATCTTTTACAGGGTTCTAGTGTGATCATATTCATACCCTAAACCATCAATATTAATCTTGGAATGATCATTGCAGGAGAGAGGTGACAATACTAACTAGGAAGGAATGAGCCATAATTACCATTATATCTTACCTAACGGCAGTAGAATTTTTATCACCACATATGTCACTATAAGGCTGATGATGATTGTGGAAATTTTGTTTTTTTTTTGGGAAATTTTTGCAAATATTGTGTGTTGTCTCGCATTGTTCTTGATTTGTTGTAAGTAGCAGCTTATCTGTCTTTTGCATGATAAGGGTATAATGAGAGGCGATCGAGAGGAGAATCTGCAGAGTTAATGTCGACCCAGAAACAGTGATGATAAGCAGAAACCAATTACACATGCTGTCAATCAATCTAATTTCTAGAGCACATGATGCTTAGCCATGGGCTGCTGCCATTTCCTTGTCACAACCTCAGAACATGCTCTTTCAGACTTATTGTGGGAGGATTTCAACAGAGGCTGCTGCAATTTCTTTGCTAGATTTATTATTATAATAGTATTCATGAAACATAGTCTCTAAAAAACAAAAAAATTGAGCTCAATTTTCAACCGCACAACTTAAATAGGCAGACAAGAAACATGGTATAAAATTTTTCCTTTGATAGTGTAGAAGAAGAGATAGTGCTGCAGATAAGTTAAAAAGATATGTTGGAAGCCATGGAGAGAGATTGGAACAGTTGTTGAAGTCCTGAATACTATGACAGGAACCTGTACCTTAAGAGCTGCAAACCTGAAGTGGGAGGTTCAATGCCTTTCATGGCCTTTTGATTTGATTCTATCTTTGGACCTGCCCTTCTTAAAAAAAGTTGAAAGACCAGTTCATAATATGATCATGACATAGTGCCTTGCATTCTTGCAATTAGCCATAGAATAAGAGAATTTGGATATTAACTGGAAAGGCACTGCAAAGCAAATAATTAAATAATTTGATTACCACTAACATGGCAGAATGCCCGGGGGCCTAGCGGCTGGTCTAGGAGGGATGGGCCTACAGCTTCATGACAGGCACGTTCAGGAATAGCCCCACAAGGGAAAATAAAGGGAAACAAAGACCTGCTATCATGATTAACAAACAAAAGAAAGCAAAAGAGAGAAAAAGCAAAGCTAGCAGAAATAACCCCGTGGCCAAAACCAACATCTAGATATTTGGTTTCCAGCGACAGGCAGGGCCTAATTGTTCCTTTCTTCTTCTCTTCTTCTTTACCTTCTTATAATTATTTGGTGTCTACCTTAGTAGCCATATCCGAAGATGGGCAGGACAGGCACAAGGTTGCCAGGCTTCTGCCTAAACAGGATTAGGCCTCATGCAAGAGTCCGGTCCCCTCCAATACAAGCCAAGCCTAAGGTGGATTCTGCTACAGCCAATCAAAAGGCTGAAATTTGTGGCAAAGTTGGAGAAGATAAATCCAGCAATGGAGAAAAACCAGGGTTGGTAATTGGAAGGAAAATCATGATTGTGGTTGATTCCAGCATTGAAGCCAAGGGAGCAATACAATGGGCACTCTCTCACACCGTCCAGTGTCAGGACACAATTATTCTTCTTTATGTGACAAAGCCCTCAAAACAAGGTTGGAGCTCTTTATTTTCTTGTCATTTACCCTGAAAAGTTTTGATTGTTAGTTAGAATCACTGTATAAGGAGATAAACATATTAACCATATATGGTTGAAATACGTAATGCAGTTACGGTTAATGAATTCGACAAGAACAGAACTGCAAGGGCTTCTGAACCGGTTTGCTCCCTGAAAAACATGTGCAAGCAGAAGAGACCTGAGGTGGGTTGGGCATATCCTTTAAGTTTCCTGTTAACATCTCTCAAAATAATGACATTCTCAACTTTTTGCCTAGTAATGCATATTCTCATTCTCACTTTTAATTAGTCTTGTTCTCAATTTTCAAATGATAAGTAAATTGGTTAAGTAGAGATTAATATATTAATGTCACCTTTATCTGGAGTCCATGTAACATAGCAAATGCTATGACTCTGGCCTGACAGGTGCAGGTTGAGGTAACAGTGGTGGAGGGAAAGGAGAAAGGTCCAACAATAGTCGAAGAGGCCAAAAGACAAGGGGTGGCACTCCTGGTTTTGGGGCAGAAAAAAAAGTCCATGACTTGGCGTCTCATCATGATGTGGGCAGGGAACCGTGTAACTGGTGGAGTAGTCGAGTACTGTATCCAGAATGCGAGTTGCATGGCAGTTGCAGTAAGAAGGAAAAGCAAAAAACTTGGAGGCTACTTGATCACCACTAAGCGGCACAAGGATTTCTGGCTCTTGGCGTAAAGTTAGGCAGTCAATTGTTTTACTGGCCTCCAAAAACTCTTTTTCAACAAAAGGGATTCTAATCTTAACTCCAGAATATATGTGATTTTTCTAGTGTTTGTTTTTGTAAATAATACTAGTACTAAAGTATATTGAAGAAAAGGAAAAGGGGGTTTGGTGTGTGTAGGAAAAAGTTTGTGTTGTGTCGTTATGTATGGGCCTGGCGATTATGGCTCAAGGGGAAAGACGACTGGGGTCCCTTGACCGCTTTTGGGTCTCTCCTGGATGCTACAGTGGATGGAAGAAGCACATGGTTCAACCACTTTTTGTTTTTGTAACTTGTACCAGAGGGAGGACACAGGGTGGGTACGTACACTTGGATGATCCTCCTTGAATTCACCGACGTTTGTTGCAGCAGAGATGCTGGGTGATCAGCTTTGCTGAAGCTGCAAGACCACCATAACTGTACCATGCATTGTTGTAATAACAATAATTTGGCCTTTCTTTCACATGGTTCTGCTTGAACCCTGGCAAATTTATCAGTTGGTTTTACTATTACAAATGTTTTCAATATGATTAATTGGTGAAATTCTTTGTGATATATGGCCATGTTTCCTGCTGTAACACAATTCACAGACTTTGAAAACATTTGACAGTGAGTGAGGGGTATAGCTTAAAACCCATTGTTAATCATGCCCCAAGGTGCAACACAGTCAGGGCTTTCCATTGATTAGCCACATAAAACTGGTGCAACAACTTAAGAAGCTGTTGCATGAGTGTGTCCACCATTGATCATGCATGCTTAAAAACGCACTTCATTTATTGCACTTGTATCGACATGAAACTTGCATTGTAACTGATTCCCAAGCAATTTTCCTTTCCATCTTTCATTGCACTGGCAATGTACAAGGAGAACGGGGGCATCTATGGGTTAGAAACATGAATGAGTCTGACGTTTTTGTCAGAGCTTTTGGGACCTCTGTTCCTTGAGCGTGGAGCAAGCCAAGCACCTTTATAAATTAGCAAGATTCCCCTAACCAAACCCTAAACCCTATCTACCACAGAAAAAGGCCCATGAGGAAAAACAAAAACATAGCAAATAAAGGATTTCACATTTTTATGTGTAGAATTAAAATTATTATCTGAATTCACTCTAAACTTGAATATAGGTTATCTTAATTTTATATAATCTGGTTGAACATTTTGTTATAGAGTATTCATTACCATTTCCAAATAGAATTAAAAGGTTAAGATAAGAGACGAGAGCATCATCGGTTTTTTTTTTTTTTGAAAATCTACAAACATTGTATATGTTGAATTATTCAATATAATTAAATAAAATTAAAATATCTTATAATTGAGTTTGAGTAAATTTTGGATAATGTAATTAGGATTTGTGATGAGTTGAATAAGATTTGGATATTGGTGTTAATGTATTTACCATCTGAATCTAATTATTAATATAAATTAAAAATGTATTAATTATTTTAATATTTGGATCGGCAGTCCAGTAAGGGAGCAGAGGCTCAGATGATTTTGGACCCAAAGCCCACCATAGTAAACCTCCTACAAAACCCAGAACTTGAAAGTAAAACCCTTTCCTTCTTCCTTGGTTTCCTCGCTGTTGTTCTTCTTCACTACCGCCCTTTCTCACAGAGCAAAACGCAGGCAACCGATGGCTAAGCATCCGGGTACCAACGCCAAAACCAAGAAGAAAGCAAAGAAGAAAGGCAGCAAAAAGTCCGGTCCCGATGCCATCTCCATGAAGCTCAAAGCTGAAAAATCCAACCCTTTCGAGACCATCTGGTCCCGTCGCAAGTTCGACATACTTGGCAAGAAACGCAAGGGGGAAGAACTCCGAATTGGCCTTTCTCGTTCCCTCGCCATCCAAAAGGCAAGTTCAAACCCAGAAATTCACACCCCCCCTTTTTTTCTCTCTATTTTAACTTGTCCATATACGTTATGTGTGTTAATGAGGCTTTTTTGGGTTTGTTTCAGAGGAAGAAAACGCTGTTGAAAGAGTACGAGCAAAGTACAAAGTCTTCTGTTTTTGTAGATAAGAGAATTGGGGAGCAAAATGATGAGTTGGGAGAGTTTGAAAAGGGTATTATGCGATCTCAACGTCAGCGTCAGGTTGGTTTTTTTTTTTAAATGGGTTCTCTTTAGTTCTTTTAACTGCTTGGTTGCTGAGAAATTGTAGTAAAAAGAAAAACAAGTGGTTGCTGTTTTATGGAGTGTATGTTTTCACTTGTTAAGCGGGAGCTTTTAGAAACTTTCATATGGTTATTGAGGTTTATAAATTTTGCTTTTTTTTTCTTTGGAGTTGGTGACATTTTAAAGCTTTTTGGTTATGGTTTACTATTAATTCCCATTTTGGTAATGCATCATAATTTACATCAAGGTGGTCCTGCTGAAACTGGAATATAAATTTTAGTGAATTGGGCATTGCCTGAACATTAGGAAGAACGGAAGCTGGAAGAATTCCTTTATTGATAACAGATTTGTGGTTCTTTTTAAAATAAAATATTGAATAAACCTTACTAGTACTTGACTTTATTGACTTTAGCTTTTGTTTTGTTAGTATGATGTCTTATATGTGTTTGCATGTGCTTTCTTGGTTACTATTATATGCACAGTTGGGAAAAATAGCTATTTTTTGAGGTTAAGTGTATGTAATTCTGATATTTTACTTTTTTTCTTTTTCTTTTCTCTCTTTTTGGTTCCACAGTTGAAATTCGGCAAGAAGAGCAAGTTCAATTTATCAGATGGAGAAGACGACGACTTTGATGCTCCAGGTTTTGGTTCCCTCCCAGAGAGGGATGATTTTGACGATGAAATTCTGTCTGATGATGATAATGATGATGGAGGAGGAGCAACTAACAGTAAGACTTCTCTTCTGCTTTTCATTATGACAATGAATTTATAATTTGTATACTGATAATCCCGAATTCCTAATTAGTGTTTCATTTGTTTGGACATTGTGTGACCTTTCGCTAGTAGCTTTTGCATATAAACATTGCATAAAAGTGGCTTCAGTTCCCACTGTTTGTCTGTAAGACTACAGTCTACAGCAAGGACATTATATTCTTCTTTATATATGCTTATCATGCAGTTGAATCTCATTGGGACAGAAAAATAATTTTGACAACTTGGTTGCTGGTATTGATAAACTTCAATCTATTATTTGGTATTGATGCATGCAATCACAGTAGTTTAGTTTAGTATGAGTTGTCATCTCCTCAGTTCTGCTTTTGTTTTATTTTAATTCTGATGTAACTTCTGTGTATTTCTGGTGGAAGTTCCATTTTCAGTTTTATGCACTTATTTTATTCTTTATATATAAAATTATATTGAATAATTTCCTTATAAGTTTCTCTTCAGATATTTATTTCCCTGTAGTGTGCCTTTTCTCTCTTTTACTGTTTCCTTGAGAATATGTTAACGGCATTGATGATTTTTCCTTCCTTGTAGAACGATCAGCCATCTTAAAGCAACTTAACTCTCATGGTGCACAGGATCCGTCAGAAAGGGGTTTGGTAGAAGGAGAGGAAAATGTAAGACCTATTCTGTTTTATTAAGAAACACTTGTTTGTATTTGTGTTTGATGATCAGCTCGGAAATGCTTTTTCATTAAGATCAAATTGGCATATAGATCATTTAAAGGCATATATTTCAAATGCTAGTTCATTTTCAGTCTAACATCTTGGTTAGCTGTTTGATCAGGCGTTAACCTTTAGTTATTGATTCTGGCATGTTGCAGAATCAGAATATTGGTGTTTTGCTAGTCCAAAATGATATTCTTTGGGTCCTCTGGTCTTTTCCGTTCTGTGGGTTATCTACTACAATTAAATGATGTTTAAATTCATGCAAAATAATTCAAGTCACATATGAATTGATTACTATCCTTCACTTTTAGCTGCTAAAGAATCCCTTTTCCCGTGCCTTTTAGTATTCATGTTTTGTCATAACATTTGTAGTAATGCGATATGAAAAACATGAGCTTGCTTGGGTAATTTCTCCTTTCATAATCAGAATGCTGGAGTTTTCTGAGGTTGAGCTCTTAAAGGTGATCCATTTCAATTGCTATTCTCCACAATGATGAAGCGATAGAAGTTACAGTGGAAGTGGCTGTGCATGCATACATGATACTCTCTCTCTCTCTCTCTCTCTGTGTGCTCCAGTGGCAGTTGGATACTCGTGCATTTATCATTGGGCATGATTTTGTGATGTGGTGTTAGATGATGCCTTAAAAGTGACTTAAATTTGTGACTTTTCATGCAGCAGAAGCACAAAAGCAAGAAGGAAATAATGGAGGAGGTTATTTTGAAGAGCAAGTATTTCAAGGTAAAAATTTGTATGCATCAAAATGTTAGCTCTGTTAATTTCCAGACTGTTCTTGACATCTGGTCTCTAATTTTTTTTTTCTTATTTCTTACCAGGCACAAAAGGCAAAAGATAAAGATGAAAATGAGCAGTTGATGGAAGAATTAGATAAGAACTTCACATCTTTAGTGCAGTCCCGGGTTTTATTGTCTATGACTGAACCAGGCAAGATGAATGCCTTGAAAGCTCTTGTCAACAAGGGTGTTCCAAATGAGCATTTGAACGAGGAAGAGTTCCCAGTTACTCAGAGAGCAGAAACTTATAAGCAGGTACAGAGTTATGATGGTTCCAGGTGGGGTTTTATTAAACTAGCCATACCGGATGAGCACTCTGGTCAAAAGCAAAGTTCTGTCTTCATTTATTTACTTATGTTGTTTTCTGAAATCTTACTTTAGCGTGCCATATTTCCTCAATGATTAAGAAGTATAATGACAAGAAGGTGCATTTAGACCACTGGTTTTATTATTAAGGAAGAAGGCTTTTATGGCATTAATGAAGAAGAGAAAGCTCTATTACCATAATTATGACTGAAACTGAAGTTCTGTTGTTAAAATTTTCAAATACAGGCACATCTTGATGCATAATCAAAATAAGCATTAAATTTTTTTTAACTTTCTTTCACAGGAACAACCTGATTCATATGATAAACTTGTCAATGAGATGGTGTTGGAAATTCGTGCTCACCCTTCTGACAGGACAAAGACACCTGAGGAGATTGCACAAGAGGAGAGGGAGCGACTGGAGCGATTAGAGGTATATGTGTTCCATGCTCAACTAATTGTTTTGGTTGTATATGCTTTTGCATGGTTTAATATTATTTGAAGATGCTGTTACATTTAGCTAAAGTCATGAGCTGTTACAATTCATTGAGGTATTCTATGAGATGGAAATTCACAGAAGCAGTTATTATCTACAATAGCTGGAACAGCCAATGTAATTACTATTAAGAAATTTCAAGTTACCTTGGATGCACAACATGGTGTCTTTTCATTATAAACCAATATATTTATTACGGAACTGTTATGGTATGACTTTTTTGGTCCATAAACTTATGAACGATAATTTTTTTCTCTATTTTTTATCTCTAAACCCGAGATATACATGTTTATAAGTGATTTGCTGTTTC